CTTACCAAGGTCCTATAAGGAGTCCTAGCCAGATTTTAGTCTCTTGAGTTTCAATCCAATGTCACAAACTGGTTCTCCTCCCTAACAACCTGATCCTGCATTGACTGGCATGTAGACAGACCTTTGCCCAGGTCTTTGGTGCTGGCTCATTGCAAGATCAAAGCTGGCAGGTGTAAAATTACTGTTTATTTTACCTAGAGATTTACTGGCTTAAAATGAATTGAAATTTAATGAATGAGCTGGAGAGGAAAAAAAATCCAGCCACTAATATCATATGTATTTGATATTACTTTATTAGAGCTTTTCAAAAAAATAAAAAGGGCTAAACAGTAGTTACACAATCAGCTAACTAATTTTGCAAGTAACCTTGATAGTGTTTGATGAATATCAAAAGTCAGGATACAAGATGGATGTCAATGAAACACCTTTCTTGTCCTATATTAGCTTTCCGTGACTGTTCCATTTCACAGCTTATTGTGCTGTATCCTGAATTACAAGATGATATTTAACTGCTTATGTGAACAAGAAAATATGACACATTTAGAAAAGTGTATCCAAAACTATCACAAATTGTACTTTTATCACTGTTCTCCTTTTTGTAAAATTTCTGTGCTCTTGGAATTTGAAATAACTTTATTGAGCCATTTTTGACTTGCATGTGCAGCTCCCATAAACTCGACTCCATAAAGGTTGCTTGGGCATAACAAATAGTTTCATTTAACAGACTTTTACTTTAGCTCTACATCAAGAAGCGTCTGAATACATGAAAAGTAAGTGATAGTTCATCTTCATTGTAATGCAATGTATTGGCAATGTTACCAGACTATGTTATCATTGCTTTGCAATGGAAGATGGACAATGATTTCTACTAACTGAACTTCCTGTCAAGATCTTTAAATTGTTATTTGAGGTATGTGCGAGTGCTAAAAGTCATGCTATATGAAGTATGGATGGAAAGGATGTCAAAATATTAAGGCCAAATAAAATGATAAAATAGACTTAGAATATATAGATATATATATTTTAAAAAGCAGTATTATACCGAGTTCAAATAAACTCTTTTGAAAAATCTCCATACAAAATTCATTATTATCATAAATTGTAGCCTGGGAGGTTAGACAGAAATTTGATTCGGAGATGTCAAAATATACGGTTTTTATGTTTAGAAACAAATGCCTTGTTCTCCTGGGTTAAACTATAGCTCCTGTGAAGCACTGTTTCAGAGTGGAAAAAGGACAGAAGTACATCATAGAAAAGGCAGTCTAGTGAGAGAACAGTACAGAGAAGAATGATAACTTGAGGAAATTGTACTGTAACTATCATAAGACCTGACACAAATTATTGCTGCATTTAACTGCAGCACTATGTCTTGAATCATTTTGACACATGAAGTAATTTCAGCCTGGGATGTCCTGACCTTTTAGATCGACACATTTTATTTCAATTTTTTTTCTGAAAGAAAAGTAAAGCTAGAATTTTCCTGCACAAACTTGCGGTTTTAAGAAAACTAAGTATAAAATAAATAATGATAAATTAATGATAAATAATGATAAATGAAAAAAAAAAGTACTGAGCCATTCTACTCAAAACATGATGCTCCAAATGATCGTTTATTGTATTGTTTCAATGCCATTCAGAAATTATTACAAGCAAAATTCTAATATTTCTATTTAGGAAAATACTAATAAAACTGTATTATTAATTATATTTTAAATAGAATGAAAATGATACATTCGGTTACTCAGTAGTGAGGAGCATTTGAATTCTATAGCTATATTAATTCAAGCAAAACCATGGACTATTTTGGATTTTTGCTTAAATTGTGTGTTCTGTTCATATTACAAGTAGTGGGTCCCGCTCACGACAGTTAAAATTTTATTCCTAACATATTTATTACCACAAAACGAGATCTGAGTAAAAAGAATAAAAACCTGCAGTTCAAATTCAAACACTGCTCCCAAGATAATAATCTAAAAGATGCTCAGGTTGTGGTATATTTATTTCAATGGCAATAGACTTTTTATGCTACAAAGATCTGGATAAGCCTGTGTAAAACTGTAGGATCCTGCTCTACAAAACCCATGTTAAAAAAAAAACAAAAACAAAAAAAACCCATAGACTTGATGCTGCAAGCTGTCCACACTTTAGTAGGGTTTTTTTGCTTGAATGGTTATAGAAGAATTGACATCACTATTCAAAATTCTCTCTCTCTCCTGAATATTATTCATGCTTCATTATTAAACAACAATTAAAGCTAGACAGCAAATGGGCTTCTAAATCACAAATGAAGAAAAAGAAAATAAACTAGTATCTGTTAGTCAGGATTAAACTATATGCTACTTTTTAATAATAAAGCTAGAAAAAGAATTTGCACAGCGTTGGTAATAACTGAGTATTTGTTCACATCTTCAGATATATTTTTGTTCTGCAATTTGTAGTAACATAGAAATGTGCTTAACTCACTAACAAAACAAATTTAAGAAAGTTTATATCAATTACAAAACAATTGAAATTATTATTCACAAATGCACTGGAAATGCACTGAGCAATAATGTTTTGATTCCTATTTGACAAATGAGAAACAAATATTTGAAAAATGCTAGAATTCTTTCAAGACTTTTCATTAAATAACAAGCTATTGTTCTTTAAAAAGAGCTGGAAAAAGTCGTAACAGAGTAGACAACCCCTGCATAAAAAAAGTAGTTCTACTTTTGAAAAATATTTTTTTATGTTATTCACTCTCCTTTCTACTTCTAGACATGCAAGAAAACAGAGTCAGTTCAAACACTCATACATCACAAAATTTGTTCAAGAGGGTAACAAAGAATTTAGTATGTACTCCTAAAGTCCACTTTTATAACCTAGGAGTACAGCAAAGAACAGTATTTTTGATTTGCCTAAGGTGATTATGGAAATATTTACACAGAACTTCATTTTCATTTTTTAACATTCAAAAAAATCTCTCATGGGCTTTGGCTGTATTGCAGAGGCTTTCTAAATCTACAGCGAGCCATAAATATTTCAAATATTTACTTTTTTGTGTAGATAGGTGGTTAGTAAAATGAAAGGGAGCTTGTCAGTATTTACCAAATTTCAGCATATATTACCCAGACTTAAAATAATTCACCTTTATATATTAGTACCTATTTTCCTTCCTTAAAGAATGATTCCAGAAACCATACTTACAGTTGTATATAACAAATAGAAGAGAATAATTCCACTGAAATCAACAAAATTTAAGGGATACTTAAGATCACCAAGGCTACAGGACGAAATAAAAAGTAGCAGGGCTTCACTATTACAGCGACAGTATCTAGCACTCTTAATTGTTTCATAAAAGGCTTGAGGCCGTGAAAGGACCCTTTTTTGAGGTAGCCTTGGATAACTTCTAGGGAGCACTGATGTCAATGACTGTAATAACAGTGACTCAAAAGGCATTGCGAACTGTCTTTGGCAGTGGATCTAGTCACATTTCTGAAATCCTATGTTAAAAAAAAGTAGGCTTTTCCTGACATCAGACTCAGAAACTTGTCATTCAGTTCTTCGGAATGATTTAATCTGGATATGCAACTAGAAGTTTCTTTTTCATTTTATCAAGTGGGAAGTCCACAAACAACTCTTAAAGGTAAGGGAAAAGAAGTACTGATTTTGTGATCTAGCAAAAAAAAGCTAGTCCCTCTATATAACTCTATTGTATTTACACTGCAGCAGTGTTTTGTATACTATACATATAGTACAGAAATAAAAGGAGATAGATACTATATTTCAGTATTTTGTTCCTTCAGGTTGTATTCTAAAGCATATTAAGGTATTACAAGAATGACAGAGTCCAGTAAAGCTGTTCTTGTGGGAAAATAAATGCCAGATTTAATTAAGATTATAGAATCATAATGACTTTTTCAATTAACACATTAAAATAAACTTTCAAAATATCAATGCAAAATACGTTGACATATGAAATAACAATTCTCCACATTGTGCATTAGCAAATTTGTATCATTGCCACGTATTTTTTTATTTTCACGAAGGAGTTCAGCTACCAATATCACTATTATATTCGCTATTGCCTCCCCACAGCACAAAGCATCTAAGACATTATTTTCTTGCCACTATTGGAAAATAAAACCAATATGGTATATTATAGTCCTTATAATACACCCAGATATTGGAGACTTGAATGATAGTTATAGTTTGGCAAAAAAATCTGCTTTTCACTGCAGTCCTTTTAGAGTAGCTATGGTAGTGACAGCAATGGAGAAAAGACGAGGCAAACAGCTTCATGGGTAACAGGTTCAATTCTACTGCACCAGCTGCAGTGAATTACTAGTCAAACTTCACTGGGGTAGTAACAACATGGCAATTCTGATGAAGTACTTACTTTACTGAGAACTTTTTACTGAGAAAGCTATGAAAATGTACTGTGTTTGTATGACTATTATTTATAACTATTGCTGGTGGCAGCAGAAATGATTTAAAGTACCATTTTGTAGAGCACATTTAATTGCAAGTGAAGTAGAAGGATGCATTTAAAAGTGCTTATTTAGTCATGGGTTGACTAAGTATTAACTATGTTCCTTTCCTATCTGGTCGGTAAGGAGCCATTAACCTAAATCTGATTCTCATGGGAGATCACTCAGCAATACAGCGTTTTAACACTGTTTCATGTGATGCTCATTCATGCTGTCCAAGGATCCCCTCTCACTGCGTTGTCTGGTAATCAGATCTTTCTCCAAAAACAGAATTATCTGTTTACACACTCTTGCTGCTACCTGAAGAGAAAAAAGATATTTAAAGCTAGCCTGAATTTTCCCCTCCCTGACCAAGTTCTGAGTATGACTTTGAAACTGAGTACCCTCATGAGAATCCTCCTTGAGTAAGAATCCCTGAAATTTTGCCGTTATTTGCTAGTTCTAAATATAACAATATCCTCGGTTGGCAATGGGCAACAGGTGCCATGGCGAGCCGCGTTTTGGGCCAGAGCAAGGGCCCGTGGGGGCGGCTCACTGGCTGGAGTACTGCACGGTGCTGTACTTGGTCACCCTCTGCCGCGAGGTGCCGGGGGAGGCCGTGCCCACGGGCTGGCTGAGGTGGCAGTCGGCATTCAAAATCTGGGCCGCGCTATTCATCCCACCTAGGCTGGCCCCACCCAGGCCGCTCATTGGAGCCCCCGACACTACTCTTTCTGTGACCACCATGTTGTGGGTGCTGGACAGCTCGGCAGGGATGTTGATTAAGCTGCCGGGCATCCCAGTGGCTGGTCGGATCACCCTTTCTGTTACCACCACGTTCGACCCGTCTACGAGGTCGGGAATGCTCAGGGAGGCTGGGAGCCGCGAGTTGGGCGCGATCACTCTTTCCGTGACAATGACATTGGACCCCTCCGTGAGATCAGGGATGTCTAGCATGCCACGCAAATCGGAGGCAGATGCCGGCCCGACAACTCTTTCGGTTACGACGACGTTTGACGCGTGCAGAGGGTCAACGCTAAGGGACGGTGGGCCGGATGTGTAGGTCTCAGTCGCCATCACATTGCCGTGGAGCAAAGGATCAGATGTCAGCCTTGGGGGCTGCAAGGTAGACCCGGATGTATAGGTGTTTTCGGTAACAATTGTTGTAGTACCAGCTGGCGGAGGCATTGGTGCACTTCCGTTGACAATGATGGTGGTTCCAGGTGGTGGAAGATTTAGCTCGCTTTCAGGGTTGGGAAAGGTAGCACTACCAGATGGCCATGGCAGGTTAACTTCAGGAAAAGTTTCAATTTCTTTGCCCAGACAGATCTCTGCCAGGGTCTTAAATTTTGGTCCTAATGTATCCAAATACGTTTCATCTGTATCTTCTCCAATAAAGCTGCAGCAACCCACAGAGCCAACAGGAGTATCTACTCCTTCATGATCATATATTAATAGACAGTCATTTGCTGGACGACCTTCATCTTCATCTGCATACACAAATGCTTTCTGTAATTTAGAAAAAAACGGGTTAAAAAAAGAGAATTACTTCTCTTCAGGTTTTTAACTCTAACCATATTGAGGTTTCTCTAATCATGGCCAGGCCTAGTGGACTTGAAAAACAACATCACCTAAAAGAATAAAAAAAAAAAATCAGCAACATCTTTGTGACCTTGAAATAAGTCCTATTCAAATGTTACTGATGTTTTGTTCTTGCTTCTGCAAACACTTAGCATCTCAAATTTAGTTAAAACAAGCACTGCTAAGACATGAGTTTTTATTTAACATTTGGGCAATAATTTTCCTAGAGATTTCCTACTTTTCTGCCTTCAGGATCTCCAAACGGAGATTTTGATAAAATGGAACCTTTGCTGAGGTTTGGAAATTGCCATCAGAGCAGGGGCCTAGAGGGTGGCCTGGGGACGGCATGAAGTCAGCCAGCCAAGTCAGCCAAGGAACGGCATAGTATCTGTCTGTCAATAGCAGGTGTGACTATGGGGTAAAGGGAGAGAGTGGAAGGGAAAGGGGGAATGCAAGCTTTGGGCAGCAATATCTGGACATAGTGGTAGGAAGAGGAACAAAGCTGGGAGGTGAAGGGAACAGCTAAGAGCCCAGGATGGAAAAGATGGGACTGAGGGTTGGGCACAGTGGGGAAGGCTTGGCGAACTGAGACACTCAGAGGGGAATTATTAGTTTAGAGCAGGACTGGGGTCGCTGATTTGGGATGGGTGGATTTGGGCAGGTGATTAACATATAGTGCTCCCAGCCCTGGCAGGGAGATCCCAGTCTGGAGGAAATCTATGTTAAGGACCGCTCTGTCTCCTCCACCACTGCACCTTTTTTAGATTTTGAAGTGCAGTGGTCCTTAAAATAGTAATCGATGTTTTGATGACATATGCAGTTATAGTATTTATGCCTCATTCTTCTTGCTAATCATGAAAATGTATCCCATTAATCCATTAATCATGCAAATGCCATAGCAATTTTTTATCCTCTGTGTAAAAGCTAATTAATCTTTTGACAATTACAGAACTGAGTATTTGTGTCATTTGCAGTTCACACATTTTTCTGGACAAAAAGTAATGAAAAACCAGAAGAAAGGGAACCGATATTCACAGTTCCTTGAAGGTTAAAGTCCCTTCATTAAGCAATCTCTAGAGAGTTCAATTTGTGAACAATTTTAGGTAAGGAATATATTCTCAATGTTATTATCTTTTTATATACTGAAAAACGTGGTAAACATAATTTTCATGGTCACTTATTAAGCTGAAATAATTTGCTTGCTACCAAACAGGCTACCAACTTTGCTTATATCTTCAACGTGTCTATCAATTTTATCAAAAAATGAATGTTATCAAGCAATCAAATTTATTATGCCAGCATCTCAAAAGTAGTATTATTACTAACCATTTTTTTTCCTATTAATACAATCTGTTTTTCTCTCACAACAGTTCTATGTCATATAAGTTTCAATTTCAGTGGAATTATTTTGGATATTCACCATGTAACTTGGAAAGGAGAATCTACCAGTAGGCTCACAGGTACATTACAAAGAGGATGTGCTAGTTACCTCAGAGAAGTAGTTGTCTAGGAAGGCCATATTCACCCCTCCTTCTCGATACTCTTTTATCGTTCCTCCGCATGACCCCTTTGCTTCTCCTGTTCCAGAAATTCCTCCAGCTGTTCCGTAACCAGTGCCAGTACCATAGCCAACCGCTGTAGTGTCTTCAACACCAGAAGGTACTCCTCCTCCTCCTCCATATGTGTTTGTATATATGTCTGAAAATGGAGGAGAAAAAAAAATAGTTGTCCCGCCTATATTTTGTGAAATTTACAAAGAATTTGCCAGTTGTTTTTACAAGTATTATAATGACCTCACTGAGCTTCTGAAGATATTTTAGACTAATTCCGGTCACAGATTCATGCACGTGTGCTAAACATTGAAACTGCAACTAACATTAAGTGTGTATTTGTAGAGATTTAAGACCTTGATTTTATGCATGAGGCTAGGTGGGTACTTGCATATATGCTTTAGAAAATCAATGATTTGCTGTGTAGTTGGCTGGAGACGTTCCTCTGTCTGGTTATATGCCATCATGGCATTTGTATTAGAACATCAGATAATGTTTATGGATATTTATGCAAATACTAAAATGTATATTTACAATCACACTGTGGTTAAGAGTGTTGCCTTAAACTCTTCAGCAAAAGAAACAGCTTTGTTATCCTTTTCAGATTTCCCAGTTGTTAAGAAGCTAGGGGATGTGGAGGAACAGCAGCTGATCGTAATAACCTCCAAGTTTACAATACAGAATGAAAATATCTTTTACAATAAATTATAAAATTATACTCATAGGATTTTATCTTCTCTAGAATTTTTCCGATATGATAATAATGAATGAGTGGTCTTAAATATCAACATGTAATGTAATAAAATAATTGCATACTGTAGTCTTGAATATGATTACATTAAGAACTGTAGGTTAGATTCTATCACTTTTTCTCATTTAACCTTGTTAGTCTCAGCTAATAGAATCTCAACCAGAGGCTCTCACCACAGTAGTAGAGATGAAAAAAAAAAAAGAAAGTGGAAATAGAGTAAATCAATCAAAGATGTCAGTGTGAAACTTTTCATTTAGTCATGCCAGCAGCGCTTCCCTGACAACAAAGACTCTTAATTCACTTTTATGACCCTAAATGTTTTATTATCTTTTGATTTTATCTTAAAGACAAGAGCATTTTTGTATATGCAAAAATCGTCAGAGAAATTGTCTTGCAGTGTGACATTTCTTCCTGTCATAAGCTTAGTGAAAATGGATTCTGAGCCAGCATCTTTGCCTCCTATTGTGATGTAAAAATGGGGAAAAGAGAAAGTGGCACTGTAGCCATTTCTGTGGTCATTCAGTTCCTGGGAGGATCTTATATCAGGAGCATAAATTTGTTATAGTGTATGCCAACTTTCTGTCTAGGCTGGTGCAGAACTGAGGAGTAATTACCCGGCTCCTTGTTCTCCCTTGTGCTAAGCAGAGCTTTGAAACTGGAAAGAACTGAACCTTTCGTCACTGAGTTACGAAAGGATTTTTTTTTTTTGGCCTTGAAATTGATTTCTGCTTAAGCTGGTGTCTTGAAAAGAACCTTAATTTGCTAGCTGGAACAATAAAGTAAAATTGCCTGAGATTTGAAAGCTTTGGCAAATGTTTCTAAATAAATACAGTTAGCAAAGATGAATCTGTCCATATTCAAGGTTCACACCTCAGACCTTTATTCAGTCCAATTAACCTCAGTTTGACTATCTGCACAGATGAGATCAGAAGGGTTGGGTTCTAGCTTAGAAACTGAAGTACTCCATGAACCAGAAGACATTAAGTGCTGGAAGAGCTTTATTATAGTGAACAAAGAAAATCTTAGGATCTGCTTACCAGAGGGTTCACCAAATTCACCTCCAGCAGCAGTTGTTGGGGCAAGAATGTGTGAGACATCCTGGAAAACAACATTTTCACTCCTTGGATGTTGAACTTTGCAGTTCCCAAATGAAAACCAAAACTTTGTGAGTCGTGTTAAGGAATTACCACTAACCCATTAACTATTGCTCTGGTCTGCTGTTGATGACCACCCCCGTAAGAAGAATCTATCCAAGTCTGTTTCATTGTCAAGATAAAAGGTGATCAGTGAAGATAGTTTGTATTATCTTGTCCTGTCTTTCATTGAAAAAGCTTTCTAGTTGTTGTGTTTCAGCTCAGGGAGCAGTAATTCCAAATGAACAGTTGAGTCAAAATAACTGAGCATAACTTAAATCACACAAACTCCGTCTGCAAACGTTAATTGAGAATCACCTTTCATACCTACTTGGCAATGCTAGACAATGCCAGGCTTCTTTTTGAAATGACACAGTGCTAAAATTATTGTCTTGCTTCTAGACAAGATGCAGTCTATCCTGTAAATATAAACAAATGTGAGTTTTAGAAATAGGGGATGTACTGACCCTGTCTTCAGGCTGTGCACCTTCTATTCCCCATGGATGAATTGCCCCTTCTGTGCATTCAGGTACAGGTTCAAATCCAGTTCCAACTCCACCTGCAGCTCCAGGTCCACAGCCGCAACAGTCGCTCATTGACATCAAAATTGGAATCACTTAGCAGAAAAGAAATGGGAAACAGGGATTTAGGTCATCTCTTCTTCACAGGAATAGATGCTTTTCCTAGATGGTAGATACTCAAGAATTTTTAAAAATATGTCTTAAAGTGTTTCAAAACAAGCAACCTACAAGTCTGACTTTCAGAATCATTAGTTGCCTTTGAAAAAGTATGTATTTGGATAATTTGAATAATTTCTACCTTTAGTTGTAGCAGAGCAAATGTGGGGTGGGGTAGGGACGTTACTCCGAATTTATGTCTGTACAGCTGGGAACAGACTTTGATCTGTCTCAGCTGAGTAAGTTTAAGTTGCAGATATATGAAAATGAAACAAACAGAACCAGTCTCGTGATATACAGCATCCAGTCATATTTGTTCTTGATATATAAGGATACACTTTTCTTTTATTGTAAAATGAAAAAAAAAAAACCATGTTAATGATAGTAAACTTATGAGAATCAATGCAAAGATTTTCATCTGCCTCCAGTGATCTTTGACTTAGACTCCAGTTGCATTTTTCACATCACATATAGTTGTTGTGAAAAACAATAGTGTTAAAGCCCAAATCTCTGTTTTAATAAATGATTAAATAAAGTGAGTCAAGTTTCCCAGTGTGCTATATTATACTTAGTTCTTTGAAAAGTTCAGTGCTTGGAATTGCTGAATACTTTACTTTAAGTGCTAACACCAAAATCATTGCTCGTTTTAGGAAGGAGGTGATATATTCATTCTGGCTGTCTTTACACCCTTAGCCTAGATGACTAATTTAATAACCTAGTATCACTGCAGAGTGAGTGGAGAGAGACAGTTGCCTGCAAGAGACTAGCCAGACATAGTGAACTCAGGAGAAGAGGGGAAAGGCTATAAAGTGCACAAAGTACTTCCTCACACTGCAAAAGTAAGAATATATTTATGTTATGAGCTACTGACTGGGAGAGGAGATTTCCAAAGGCCAAAAGGTGGTCTGTCCTGTAACATTCAACAGAGTGAGAAGAAGAGAGAAAACAGCTTGAAAATTTGCAACCTCAAAATTTTGTCTTTGCTGCTTCTCATAAAAAGAAAAAAAAATCCCAAACCCCTTCCTTCAAATTAGGGGAGAAAACATGTTCCTCTGATTGTTAGGGTCAATATTTCTGCGTTGGGCAGTTTCAGATGTTGGTGGCTGGTTGCCCTGCTCGTGAAAGACAAACGATCTGCGAAGTAATTGCTGAAGTTCATATGCTGCATGCACCAGTGCTCAGCATAAAGTCTGACTTGATTCATTCTTCTCCCTGAAACTCGTGTTTCTTAAGAAACAATAGGACATGAGAGTAAATGATCAGTTCTAATCCTGTTCTAACCCTACTCATGTTTAGTTGATTTAATGGTTGGCAAAAGCTGCTGGAAGATTTAAAATTTAAAAGCTTTATTTTTGTACCATTGAAATTTGCCTTTGACTTCAAAGGAATCTTATTCTTTTTATTTCTTCTTGTACCCAACTTGAAGCTGATAATTGTCCCATTTCTTTTAAGTAATGTAACATGTACAGCAAATTGCTAAATGGAGGTTATAGAGTCAATAGTGCCAGCTCTTACTCAGATTCTTCTGAGTCTTCTACTTAACTTTTGACTCTGCCTGAATTATCACTGATGCTTATGAGAAATGGATAACACTTTGAGAAAAAAATCATAAGTCTTAGAAAGGAAATAATTGTTTCTAAATGAAGTATGTGTAATTTTATACACACACACAAACATATTTTATATATATATATATATATATATATATATACTTTATATATATGGATATGTATTCTTTTAATTTAAAAAGCATTTCCTTCTCTGCAAAGTGCCCATAAGAGTCGTAGTTGAACAAACTGACAAGTCTACTTATTTTAAAAGAGTAAAAAGTATATATAGTTTAAAAATTTAATGAAAGTTTTCCTAATTTTGTACTTACGAACAAATATTAATCCACCAAGAAACATCAGGCCGATGGCAGCACCGCTAAGTGTGGTAGAAGATTGGGACTCTCTGCCTCCCAGTCCATCATAAGTTTGACCACCGTCTCCAGTAATTCCATCATCATAACCTTCGCTGTATCCACCATTGTAATCCTCCCCGTCTGTGCTGCTCCCAGCATCACTTCCGTCACCCACACTGCCACCACTCTGTTGGTCTGTTCCTTTCCCTGTTTCTCCTGCCTGGCTTCCTCCACCAGTACCACCACCAGCACTACCATCACCACCAGCGCTACCACTGGTACCACCACCAGCGCTACCACCGGTACCACCACCAGCACCACCACTAGAACCACCACCAGCACCACCACTAGAACCACCACCAGCACCACCATCAGCACCACCACCAGCACCACCACCACCGCCAATGATGGTTATTTTTGTAGCCTCACGGGTGCAGTAATTGCGACTATCACACTGGCAGGCTTGCACCGGAATTACATGTGGTCGTAGGCAGCTTCGACCTTGGTTATCTCTAATGTTGACATGGATCTTATAAAATGAAAAGTCAATATTCTGACCCACTAGCTCTGCAGAGGAAGCTGTGGGAGAAAACAGGAAAGAATTAGATTAAGATGTTGACTTTAAATACTGTACAAGACTGTAGTTTTTGTGAATAATGTTCATAGTGTAGAATGAAGAGCAAGTCTTCTCGTTTTAAGATCTCCAGTTACTAGAAGTAAGTTTCAGCCATAGGGCTGAAATTTATTGTCTTGGTCCATGACGCTTTTTTTCTTTTGGAAAACATGAGCCAGATAAGTTTAGTTATCAGTTTTTAATCTGAGAAATATAAAGGGACACATGCACTTTTTTATATGTATGGCAGCATTTCCTGATTTTTATTCCCACAGTGGGGAACATTAAAATTGCAAGTTACACACATTTCCTTTTCTCTCACAGGGAAGTTGCGATAGCTGTGCTAGCTACATTACATGACTGCATGTTTATGTTTCTTTCAAAAGGTTTTTCAATAGTTTTAAAATATTTAAATATATATATTTGCATCTATTTAGGACAAATGGGACATGCAAGAGTAATTATAGTTGCAATAATTACCATGCAATCTAGTCTTCTGGGCATATAGTAATTTATGCAAATTCTGATATTTACTAATGTATGAGATTTGATTAATACATTTAGTTAATTACTTCTTATCAGAGCAAATTAGAAAAGCTCCACTAGGCACGGGCTAAACCTTTTTTCTTAGAATTGCAAGAAAGTACATAAATTATAAAAGTTGTAATCTTTATTTGACATATTTATATCTTTCTCTCATAAAAAGGAAAGCTCTGCAGACTAAGAACTTAGTGGATATTTTTACCCGAATAAATAAATTTGAGAGTTTTGTCACATGGTTAGAATGTTTTAGATAGTATATAAGGAAAACATATCAAATTATTTCTTTTGAATTACCTCAATAGCTTTAGAGCAGGGCTTATTGTAGTTACACCCTAGTGAAATGAAGTTCTACTGCTCTATTTTTATCAGCATATGCTTCGTTTCCTTTAAGAGATGAGAACTAGACATAATACATCTAATGATTCTGATTCTAATATGATTAATATATAAGTAAAAATCCAGAACAGTTCCATTTTATTCCTTGGATTCATATGAGTGTAAAATCACATTTAGGTGAGGTTGGTATAGATCCCAGTAACTGCTTTGGTTTTTGTGTTATTTGTTTTGTTTTGGGTTGTTTGTTATGCGACGGTTATCCTAACTGGTTATCTTAGATAAAAGTTTATTGCTATGATTTACTCTATTACAAAACATAGTTTAATTTACCATTTATTGATCTGATAATCCATGTAGTCTGAGGTTCACCATGTATGCTGAATGCAAAGGGGGAGCCAAACCGGTTACTATCCATATCCTTTGCTGTGATAATCACTGATGGAGAATGCATACATACTTTTCTTGTTTCTGTACTAGTAGTTGGACAATTATCATTAATATCTTGTACTAAAAGTACAATGGTACCAGTAGCAGTATGTTGAGGAAGCCCTGTAAAAGGAAGATACCTGTGATCAGGAGGGAGTATAGATATTATAAACAATGCAGTTCTAGTAGGAAAACTAGAAAAGGAGAAAACAGAAGTTTAGAGAAATCTGAATTAAAGACAGCTTTGTTTCTGAAAAAGTCAATCTATTTTCTTACCTCTGGTAATAGCCCGAACCTCTGCTCTGTATTCCCCATTGACTACATAGGATGATTCCCGGTCAATAACTTTGTTCAGTGTGATTTCACCAGTGTTTGGATTGATTCTGAACCAAGCACCTGGATCACGTCCTATACTATATCTGCATTTGGTGAATTAAAAATACACAGAATTATATTTAATACAAAATAGCTCAAATCTTGCAGACCTGGTTATTTGAATTGAATAAATTAGTCCAATTAACTTTAACTCCATAGGCTGCAGTGTTCTGCTACATACTCATTTGGTAAATATTTGTCACTTTGGAGCATTTTTCTTATCCTGTGCTAAATCCTATTGCCATTTCCCTCTTCAAGCAAAATTCCTGTAGACCTCAGAAGATGCACACCAGAATAATAAAGCAACTGTTTAGAATTATATTTTGAAAGTGACATCATAGTCTAAAAGTAAAATATAGCCTGACCCTTTAAACCTTACTAGAACCCTTGCTAATGTCAGTAGCTACATTCACAGCTCCTCCTATAATAGTCTAAAGTTGTATTTGCTAATATTTTTCTCTGTCTTAGGAAAACTTTTCAAAACTTTGTAAATTTTATGCATTTATTTTTATATACATTATGGAACACATAACGATCCCATTAACCAGCTATCATTAATTTCAGCAAAAAGAATTGTCATATCATATTTTTTTAAATATAGAATGAGCTGGTAGTGACCTCATTGTGCTGATTACACAAAATTGCCCGTTATTGGGGTTTTCTGCTTGCTTCTTTAAATTTGCTAACAAATTCACTATTTGTAACAAAACTTTTCCAAATTTATGAAAAGGTTTAGAAATGTTTTGTTTTAATTTACTTAAATTACAGCCCATTAGAAAAATGGCATCACCTTTCTCATGTGCATAAGCCTGAGAAAAGCATGGTCAGCCATCTAAAACTGTCATAACATAAAAATGTATGGATGATTGTATTTTTCTATTGCTACGGTATTAGCAATTTTTCTGTAGTTTTTAAAGTATCCTTCATAACCTTATTTTCCACTTCCTTGACTGGAACAAAGAATACCTTTTTCTCATCTGACTGAAATTTCAGTTAAAAGAATTATTAAATCTGGAGACTTAAGCAGAGAAAATACAGCCTTACATGACATTAGATGCCACAGTCCCAGTGTCCTCGTCAATGGCTGTGTATGTTCCAACAACGTGATTCTGTCTTGAACTTTCTGATATAGAAAAGCTAATAGAAGATGGATGAAATCTTGGTGGTTCAACCACATTTTTTACTTCTACTGTGAGAGGTGTTCCAACAACTTGATACTGAGATGAAACAGAGTGGTGGAAGGCAGCTTTGTTTTTGACACCAATACTCAGTGAATGACTTTGGAGGTGTTCATAATTCAGTTCCTAAAAGATTAAATACAGATAACTAGAAAATACATACTATTTCCTGGACTTGAATTTTATTAAATACGCAGTTTTAAATAGTTGAGTCACAGCACTTTTATCAATCATTTTAAAATTATTTTTAATGATTTAAATTATTTTAAGATGATTGTTTAAGCAATTGAATCACAATGTTTATCCATACCTTAATGACTCTAAGGATTCCTTGATTTGTAACTGGATCTGTAACAATTTCAAAGCAGTTATCTTCATTACCAGATATAAAGAAAAACTCTGCTAACCAGTTATCTGTAAACTCTTCATCAGCATCCAGAGCTTGTATTCGTAGCAGTTCTGAGCTAAGTGAATTTTCTGAAATACTTGCTGAAAACTGGAATGACAGAAAAATGCCTATTAACAAATACTGCAATATATAATGTAGAGAAAACATAGCTGAATGTAGAGACTCTTTTGAAGGACATCCTGTCCACAGTCAATACCATTTTAAGAATAATTGTATGTTCTGTGTAAATTGTAATTCTGGTCGCAGATGTGAAGAACTAGGTTGCCTCATGTGTTTGCAGATACAAAAGACTGAATAAAGATGGATTAATCTTCATAAATAGGCCACGTTGCACAGATCTGGACACATGAATGCCAGGATTTGACTTCTCTGAATACAAAAATAATCTAAGTGCTTGTTATCAGAATTGTGTGTGCAAACTATAGATACGATTTTGAGCACGCTTCAAGGAAACAATCCCTTTAATTCAGTGGAGCATTCAAATGAGAAAGTGTTCAACAGGTTAGTAAGGGCTTTGTTATCTATTGGATTTTTGAAAAGGGTTTTAAAACACTGATGTTGATTTTGATATTAAAAACTTACAGAGCTTTGAGCAAGAGTTGGGAAGTTGTCATTGACATCAATAACTTTAACATTGCAGCTACAAAAAGAAGAAATTCCATCTGCAGCTCCATCCCGGTCTGATGCCTTCACGACAAGAGTGTAGCTACCATGTTGCTAATACAGAAAGAGAATTCCGTGTGTTACAATGATTTATTCATCTTAGACATTATAAATAGTTATATCTTGCTACTATTTCCACATTCATTTATTTCCCTTAGACTTTTTATTGCAACATATAGAAAAGAAACATACTTTTTTTTTAAAAGTACTCCCTTTTTGTTTTATTTTTGTCAATGTCACGACCCATATGCAGTCACAACATCATGCTATTTAATTTTGGAAATGGAAATTTTACCTCTCTGTCAAGATAATTTGCTAGATGAAGTTCTCCAGTATGTCTGTTCATGATGAACATTGGTGGACCTGAAGGTTCCTGACTCTCTATCTTGAAGGCAATTTTAGAATTCAAGTTATTAGGTTCATCTGCATCTGTTGCAATTATTTTCATCACCAGTGTGTCTAAGAATAATAGTAATAATAAAGATCAGAAAATCTGTTTTGTTCCTGTAAACGACTCTTCAAGACAATGATAAACTCATGGTGCATCAGTATGACAGAATTCTATCTATTCAGTAACGTCTACAAAGAAAAAAAAACATTTAAGTTTGTAGTACTGGTTATGAGTGAACTTTAATGACTTTAAAATGCATTACAAGTTGAGGTCAGGCAGAGAAATGAAGATTTTGATTGAACCTCTTTAAGTCACCACAGGGGCAATGTAAAAACATTAAGTTCTGAGCCTGTAGATACTCACATGAGAACTCTTCACAGTATTAGATGGAGATTTCTGGAGGCAGGGCTGTAAGGGGACGACCTGCTTTTGTGTATCTGTATGGCAGGATGAGTTTGCGGCAGTATGGCAGGGCGGTTCCCTGCCTTTCTGTTCAGGACACGAGGTGTCCCCCACCATTCCCTTACCGACCTCAGTGTTACTCGCATATCTAGCACAGATTGCATGCTTTTGGTGGTAATAAGGTTTTTTTTTTTTTAAGTGAGAAGACATGAACCAATTTGTTTAAAGTTTTCACATCTAAAAGAATTTGCATGATGATAACTTTAGGAACTGGAACATTAAGCATTTGTGCGTGGGAGAAAAGGGGGAAGAATGCATCGCTGCCTAATTTTAGGCAGTAACTGTGGATCCGTGCTGTAATGGCATTCTGAGAAACACCTCCCTCTGCAGTAGCTCTGGGAAACACATGTCATTGCCGAAGAGGAAGTAGACGAACAACCTAAGTTTGTATTAACTGTATTATACCAGCTCCCCTGACTATACTACACTGTAACAGGCATAAAATAGTTACTTACTGTCCATACTGCATTCTTCAATAGATCCTGTAAATACTTCTTGTACAAATTTAGGAGGGTTATCATTTATATCCAGAACTCTCACTCGAAGTTCAAGAGGTGGTTCCAAGTCTACACCCGTCACTGAGTGTTTAGCAAAGCAACGTATCTAGATAAAGAAATTTACTCATTTTAAAACCAAAAAAGAAGGAAATAAAGCAATAGTCTGAAACAAATGATCTAGAGTATTTGTCTAATTCTGCTCCCCTGCCCTGCCCTGCCTCCTGCACCCATCATTATAACAAAAAAAGTAATACTTACAACAAATACTGGGATCTCTTCCCTATCCACTATCGATGTTATATTAATCTCTCCAGTTTGTGGGTTAATAACAAATACTCCGTAGGGGGCACGATCGACTCCAGCTCCGGAGATGCTGTATGTGATTGTGTGTTTTTCTGCACAGTCTGACGAGATCTACAATAATAGGTAATAATAGTTTATGCCAGCTCACTTAGAACATCTGCAAATTTTTTCCTATTATTATTGCCCTTAAAGTTTTCTGTATAATTTTCATTTTCCCTCCCAACCACATATCACAAGGCTATTGGCAGAATAAACTGAAGGCTGTGCCGCAAGCCAGTCAATCTACTGCTACATATCCCCTGAATATTTCTTTCCAGTCTTCTGGCAGTGAACTGGCGATATTATGGGAGAGAAGTCTTCCAAATCTTCAGATCTTCAAGTCTTACCCTGTGACTGGACCTCCGTAAGGATACAGCTCCGGGGAAAGGATAGGAGGACATCCTGTGTGCTCCATCGCCTCACAAGAGTCAAGCCCCTGGAGCTCAGGCTCAGAGATTTCTCAGAGTGAAAGATAAAATTAAAATACAAAGAACTAACATGCAGAGGCTGCACATGAACAGAATATGTGTTAGAGCTTTCCAGAAAGTAGATGGATTTCAAAATTCTAGGGAGCCTTTGGTCACTTCTCAGCAGCTGCACGGGTTCATCTTATGAGAATGTCTCATTTGACCTGGAAATATTACATCTTCTTTTGTCTATTCTATGTTCCTTGCTTTGACTAGTCTAAGCAAATGTACTCTTTATCAGCCTGTCTTTACAAAATGCTTCCTTGTCCATGAACAACACCTCTACTTTGCTTTCTACTTACTTTGGCAATTGGATTCCTCTTAGAATTATCTTCTCCTTCTCTACAAGCTGCAGCAAATTTGATCCATTCACGTTTTTGTCTTCGGAAGGTTTTCCATTTTGCCACTCCATTTTCATCCCATTCTTTTACCTTTGACATAGAGTTCCAGCGTCACTATAACCAGCAACTTCAATATATTTTAAATTTATACAGATGTTTAGAATTTCCAACATTAAAAAGTAGAAAAAAGATTTTCATAGATTATATTTTTTACATGAATCTAAGTCCCAAGCTTGAGATTATACATGTATACTTTTAAATTATCCCTGAGTATTACATATTCATTGAGGTTCTGGAGAACTCTCGAGAGAATGCACAGGTTATTATATTACCTGCAACTATTTAATATTTAAATATATTTTCAATCATCAAGTTAAAAAAAGTCTTAGTTCAATATTTTCCATTTCATTTTATGTTGATTACATTTCATTTTATCAGAAAATCAGTTTCTAAGGAATTATGTATTACCTTTACATGAAATCCTGTGCTGAAATCCAAGAGTACCTGCAAGAACAATAAGACCAACATATAAAAATGCAAGGCAAAATGCAGTAAGCAAAACCCAGCTGCCCCGCATCATTGCTATATTGCAGGACTGGAGCAGTATTTTTCCCTCAAGTTCATTGCAACAAACTAACTAGGTTGCAGTTGCAGGATTTCCATAAACAATGTTGTGCCATTATTTCCCCCCTATATCTATCACTGTTTAATTCCTTGATAGTTAATTCTTTCAGAATTAATTCTGTCTTTCAAGGCACCTTGAGTTTGAAAGCATGTGCAAATTTAATGCTATATCTAAATAAAAAAAAACATTTTTCACGTAGATTTTTAGGAAGTAGCGTCTCAGCTGATTCAGCTGAAGAGAGAAGTGATTTCAAGATTTATTAAAAAAATATGTCTAGGAAACTAAACAAGATGCATTTGCTTTATTCTTTAGAGGTTTATTTAGAAAATCTATAGTAGACCTGGAGAATTTTAAAATACTTCAGTATACAGTTTAAGTAAAAGGAATAAAAACATTCTCTTGTAACTTCCCACTGAGGTTAAAGACATTAAATGTATGATGGAAAGCCAACTGCAGCCAGTAAACAGATTTCTTTCAAGTTCAATGGGCTTTTTCTGGAGGTCTAACTCTGCGAGCAAAAGCTCAGCTAAATAAATATTGCAGGATCAGATGCAGCCTGTAATTATTTTCAAATTAAAATTGTAGAGAATTATCAATGTCTTGATTACTTCAATTTAAAAGAAAGTGCAGTTTCATTTACCTTATTCCGAAATAACACATGAAGATGAAGTTCACTTGGTAAATGTATCACAACTTCATAGCATCACTTTTGGGTTTATGACCTGCCTTTACCCACTTCAAACAATAAAGGGTGAAAAATATACGATTTGCAGGACTCGATGTTTGCTTGATTTATCATTGAAAAAAACAAAATGTGCAGGTGACCCAGAAAGTTTTGCAGTGTTTCTCCTTTCTCAGCAATGGTGCTAACAGCTGTAGTTATCAGTTTTCCACATCCCTATCATTTCCCAGTATTATTCAGTGACTCACACTGATTTATCTGATATGTTTTCTCTGATGGATTTTAGGTTGGATGTAACAACATGGATAAGTTCTGTGACAATTTTTTTTCTCTGTGAGAAATTATCTCACGGAACTTCCTTCACTTCAGATTCATTACCTGGTTGTTATATCAAGACTGGAAGATGGGCATAGCCTTTCCATACAAAAGGTTAATGAACAGCAGCTTCACTCTCCTCCTTTCCTCTTGCCTTTCCCCTATTTACTTACATGCCGTAAGATGTCCACTGTCTGTCATTTGCAAAACCATTTCTCTGATGGTCTGTTCTTGCCAACAAAATTCACTGAGATCTCAGTCAGTGAGGCTTGCTCTAATTAATTAGTGAATAAGAGAGTTTCAGCTGTGGATGTAGTATCTTGACTGTATGTAATATCTTGAAATGTATGGGACTATTCATGGATTAACTTTTTTTTTCTTTTTTCTTTGAGCAAGTTATTGACATAAAGTGTTAAGAAGAGTATTTCTTGGGAAAATCATTACAAAATTGTGTTAGGTCTTTAGATAAAAAAAAGATATGTACAGGTTGTGCTAAAAATATCATTATAGCTTTTAATCTGAGTGCATGTGTTAGTGACTGCATAAATCTTCAGCTGCAGAATGGGGTTCAAGCTTATGTGCAGTCATGACTCATCTCTGCAACATCAGACTCAATTTCAACTGGGGAGTTGTTTCGCCTCAGCGGGACTTCAAGCCTCTCCTTTTACGGTCCACCTTGGAGATTGGGGAAACATAGGAGAGCACAATATGCAGATTGTTCTCTCGCGAGGGAGTCTGAGTGATGAAGCCAATCAGAAATTGCATTGATTCAACGTCTCTTATCAGTTGATCCCACCAGCAGAACACAGGTTCCTTGGGCAAGTACAGTGCAATCCTCTCCGCCCTTAGCCTGAATTCCCTTCTGGCATGCAAGCTTTTGTGTTGACACAGAAAAGTGTGGTATATACCTCCTAACACAGTGTTAATGAATCTTGCCTGCTGTCTGCATCTTATGACCCATTCCAGTATCTAACAGTGAAACTGATAGCTCGCTTCCAGCCATGTTACTCTCACAGTTAACATGCATAACTGAAATATTGTATTGAGGAACAGTGGCACTCCTGGGAAAGAGGAATTACACCTGTAAAGAATTCTTGAATTCTGTTCTTTAGGATAGGAATATTCATAAAAAGAACTTGATTTCAATCTTTACTGATGACCAGTGGGGAACTCTGTGTGTCTGAAAGCTTGCCTTGTAATTATACAGAGTCTGAACCCTGTATCTAAAATGAGCAGTTTGAACGGCTTTCAAACTATGAAGAATATCCATTGTACATTGATATTTCATCCTTTGTCTTTGAGCACCACTAACAGGAATATTAGGATGCTTTGTTCATCAGTTTTACTGAGAATCAGAAATTACAGCCCAGTATTTCCACGCTTGTCCTCTACCAGCTAAGGAAAAATCCCTTTTTCTGTGTGTTGCTGATGGAAGATCTTTAAAGAAATTTTGATAGTTTTGAATCGAGAATCCTCAGTACTATTTGTGATACTACTTGAGAATGTTGATTTCCTGAATTTGATGTCTGCATTCTGTATGTCTATCTCAGTTACTGCTATGTTATAGAAAGCAAGGCAGACAAACACTAGAAGAGGCCATCTGGTTCACCAGCTAAACCTAAACAATTCTGGAGAGACAGCTGTTTAACATGGCTAGGGACAGGGTTTCCGTTACTGCCCCAACTAATATTTTCCAGTTCTTTGCTAGCATCAGCAGGAGACAAAAAGCTCTCCCCTCTCCTTCCACAGCTGGAAATTTCAAATACCTCACTACCTTGTAAACCTGTATTTCTAATGCTCTTTCCAGTGGAGAATAACATTTTACCATCTATCGCCTAGCAGCTAATTCTGGCATAATTGAAGAAAATGTACGAATTTCCCTTCTAAACTAGTATCTGAGCATGTTATGTACTGTTTTCCATAGAATCAGTGATTAAGCACAATTAAAACAATAGGAGCTGAAAGCGTTGGATGCAGCTTGAGGACCCTGGGGTAGGCAGGCTGATTAGAATGACATCAAGATTTGCTGTCCTGCTAGTCTCTAAGGGACCCTGAAAAAATGTAAACTCTGCAGAGGAGCTAGAAGCTACTTGCACATGCTCTTTCAGATAGGGTTTGGGAGATGTCCAGACAGAAAATATGTTTGTCATGACCATCAGTAGCACAGCAGTGTGTCTGAAAGCTTGCCCTGTAATTATACAGAGCTTGAACCCTGTATCCAAAATGAGATTTTAACGTCACACTGGAGTTACTCTGGACTTGTTCTGATGTAACTGGGAACAGAATTAAGCCCATAGGATGTGTATGGTTCTTTGCATCTTCAAAGTAATTTGCAAATAAGAATTAACTAATCATTAATTGACTGTCAAGCAATATTATATGCAATTATGGAATCCTCCCTCCTCCACCTACTCATAGCTGAATGACTGAACACACCTTTAATATCTTCCCAGCATTATTCATATTGGATCTGATTCTTTCTCTTTGAAGTCAACAGCAGTATTGTTATTGACCTTAACAGGAGGAGTGCTGAGAACTCACACATATTATATTAGTCATCATGGCGCCACGGTAGCTCTGGTTGTGTCAGCATTTTGGGACCTGCATGTCTTACTCAGCCAAAACTCTGACTAGTAATGCGTTGAAATAATGAACCCTTCCTTTTATGCATTTCTCACCTCATTAAAAAATGATAAATCAGTGGATATGAAATAATGAGAAGCAGGGTTGAAACATAAGACACAACCTCATATTTTAAAAAGAATCCCTTTAGTAATTTTTTAAATCAAAACAAGAATACACTTTTACCTGTACTTTTCATTTTTGCATCCATTAATGAATGTTATTCTTTTGATTTTAAGGGGAAATTTTGCAGGATGATTTTTCTTGCTGTTTCTTTGCTAACTCCGTAAAAATCAGGTGTTTCTGGCTTCTTATATTAGCAACAGAAGTCAATATTTTGTATTGTACCCATGATGGAGAAGCTATTACTATTTTGACAGAAGTGAATGAAAGATATGATGCTCGTGTCACTCAGAAGAATAAATTCCAAAGTTTTATTTATTTTAAAATACTCTTATTAAAAGAATTGACCACTTCAGGAAAAGTTTTCACTGTGATTGTTTCTGCTCAGCTGAGCTAAATAAGGACATAGAACATGTCATACAGGAATAATGAATTTATAGTATAGTAGCTGAGCTTACCAATTAGAAAAATGAACAGAAAAGTAATTTCAATACACGATGTAAGCCATTGTCATCCAAGCTGGAGTTTTTCAAGTTAGTTATGCTAAGTTTCCTGAATAAATCTCCCAAATAAAAAAAACTAACATGTCTTAGAATGCTCTAGCTGCAAAAGCACATTTGCTTAGCCATTTTTATTTAGGAATATGCTACAGACTTAAGAACCTATTTTTGGAGAGAATTTGACTCCTTAATATTTTTATGTCCAACCAAGTTATGAGTAGGAGGCGTAACCATAGCCTAGCAACTAGAGAAAAAAAAAGGTGTAGATAAGATATGGGAAAAAGTAGCCAGACAAAAGTGCATATAAGGGATGTGGTGAATTTAAAATTATTCACTGTCACATGATAGCTGGCAAGAGAAGAGTTATACCTGATCAAACAGGTTATTTCCATAAAACGTGTCTGTGCAAGTACCACAAACAGAACTCTCTTACTCATGAGAATGACACCTTTGTAGTTATGTGAGTGAGGGTTACAGAATCAGACCCATCAATGGTGAAATATATATAGAAAATTAGTAGTTTCAGACCATGCTCTCTGGTAGTTTAATACTTCATCTTTGGAAAGTGTACTAAAATATCTATAATTCCACAGCAATTTTATTTGATACAGCTTATTAACATTATACTAACCAGACGCACCAAATAAGTGATTTTCATGAAAGAATAATTAAGCCCCAAATCGAGACTGTTCCTTAGAATGCAATAAAATTGTATCCGTAATCTATAATTTGTTTAATCCCTATAGTTTGTTCATCACCTTTCTAAAAAGCACTAAAACATGCTATGAGACTGTACAAGCCACCGTGAACATTGTTATGCAGAAAAACACTTAGAAGAACAACAGTTGATTCCTCTAGGTAGTAAAAGTTAAAAAAAACCCTGATACTCATCAAAATATAATTGTAGTTTTCACTACCTCTCTTTTTCCTGACCACATAGGCATTCTGAATCACGATTGTGATTCAGACACAACAATATTTGTATTGTTTATTGACAACAATAAACTGAAAGAATGAGAATTGTTAACAAGATTAAGCAGTAAAATTTCTTTTGAATGGACAAATCTTGAATACAGAACTTTTTTTTTTTTATATTCAGCTTTTTTTCTAACTTTCAAAACATCAGGAGTATGCATCACCAGGTAGCTGAATAAAGCTAGTAGTTATATTGTTATACAAAAATCCAGAACTGTTAGCATGACAAATAACATACCAATTTCAGCAGAGACCAGTGTGCTGCATTAAACAAGCAGAAACTCATCTGAACTATGCCTTGCTTTTGCCAAGTTTTATCATTATTTGTCTGGCAGCCGCCCTATGTTGATTAATTCTACTTTACTGACTGCAAAACTGTGACCTAAATTCGTGCATTATCACTTCAAAATAAATCTCAGGATTTCATATTCTATAATTGCATACCCTATTTCCCTGACTATAAACATTGCTAGCAATATCAGTAACAGGAAGTTAACAGACTTTTACACTTACTAATATTCTGTGTAAATCAAAAGCCATGAAAGAAATAGCTATAAAATAAATTCTGCTCTTTTCAGTCTTCATGGCCTTGAACCTCTACGTAGTTTGAGAGGAGTAGCAAAGACAAGTGAAAATAATCCATGCAATAAAATAGAATGCAACAGTGGAAGGGTCTCCCTAGTTCTTTTAAGTTCCTTTTCGGTAATTTCCCAACACTGATGAACACATTGCACAATTATTCTGCTTGACCATAGACACAACTTCCCTTTTATCCTAAATACAACAAACTCAAAGAACGACACTTTCATTATAGTGGTTGAAGTATTCACTTCCTTAATACATGGCAGCTCAGACACTAATGCACAATGAGATGTGGATTCTTTATAGTGTGAAGTAATGGGTGAAGTCCTGATTTTTGCTCAGCTAAAATCTTCACTAAATTTCATGTTTTTCCCTTGAGTAAAGTCATAGGATTTAATCAACTCTGAGGCACTCTTACTAAACACATTTCAGAAAAAGATGTTTCCTCTCATCTTCCTTGTATTGAGCAAAAGAATAAAGACACAGAATCAAGTTATACCCAGTCAAGTTATTAGAATTGTTTATAAATGATAACGTTATTATTGTTAAGAATGACTAATTAAGTAATACATATAGACAACATTTGCCTGGAAGGTCACATATTAAACATAGAAGGCCATATATTGAACATCAAAAGATTTCAGAAAGCTATAATCAAAAGAAGCAATTGTCAGCGTTCAACGAAAAACTAAATTCTTTGTGTAGAATCTTCTGAAATACAATTTAAAATAAGCACAAGTTTATTTCTTATGCATATTTTCACAGGATTTTTTTGCAGGGGGTGGTTTACACTGTGAAATATGGTGGTCTGCTGAGGATTCAACAGACATAAACACAGAGTTTACAAATATTGTATTAAAAGTGGACTTACCAATAAAAGGAACAGAAAAGCAGTTGTTCGGTGAGGGAGCCAATCCATTGCATCTGATTTCTTAGATACAAGTCCAACTGAGTTACGGTTACAAGTCTGCTCCTTTTCCCTCCCCCCCCCCAACTATGGTGTCTATTTAAAAAGACACTCAGTAGATGTCCTTATACTCAGCCTTTCAAGGTGTTTCTGTCTCCCTCTGAGAGAAGCACTGAAGATGCTGTATAACAGTGTGTCTTTCCCCACCCAAAAAACCTGGGCTGGCCTCACCTGGAGCGCTTGACAACATCATTATTGCTTGCAGGTAAAAGCTAAAAGACACACCTTAATTCTTATTGCACTGAAACCCTTTGTTGGATACGAAAGAGTACATTTTAAAAGCAGAAGGCAAGTTTTGCTGGGAAGATACCAAGCAAATTATAAATTACTCACAACATAAGGAATCATTAAAATGATAACTTATCATTATTTTGAATGCAATTACCAGTTTTCTTTTTACACTGAATATGATAGAAGAGCTTAATGAATAATATTGTAAAGAATACGCACTTTAAAAAATTATTAGTTTGAATGAAAATGTATGTCCATTTGTTTCTTTTCAGGCTAGAAGAAGTCAGTTCTGCATGCACTGTTTATAGAAGTATCGTACTCAGAACAGAACATGTTGTCATTGAAAAGATAACATATCAACTGGGGAGAAAAAGAGTATTTTATCCATTAGACCACAAGAACATCAGAAGCAGAGGAAGGTAACTTTTCACTTTCATCAAATGCGAAGCTTGCTAGTGCCCTACCTTACTCTTCCTGGCAGCCGCGCTCTCACTGACGCAGCAGAGAGGGTGCTGTGTGCAGCATAACCCGTGCCATAGGAACCCTGCTTATGAAGGGAGGAAGTGCTGCACAGCTCACTTTTGGCCTGGTTTTGGATGGCATAAGCACAAGTACTTGAGGGATGGAGAAGACAAAGCGTGTGTGCCGCTGTGCTCAGCAGTGAGCACCTGGGTCTTGCAGCGGAGGCATTACACCCTCCCTGCATCCTTGGGACTCATGAGCCACCCCACCGAGGGCAAGAAAAGGAAGGAGAAAGCGTCTGCTGTACCGCTAAGCCTGCAAGGAGAGAATACTTTCCACCCCACAAAGTGCCTTACAGGTGCCTGAGCCCACCACAGTGCTGGGCATCTCCCAAAGCTGACTGCAAACATGGAAAAAGGAGTGCTCAGCACCACCAGGATTACTCAGCGCCTAGCAGGACTGCGCCCCACGCTCCTACTGGGTAAGCAGCTTCGCAGCGCACCTCCCCGTCACGCTGCTGCTTTGCATCGACTCTTCGCTGCCTTGCAACAAACACACTTGGGCTGCTGCAGGGAGTCGCGTTCCTCCGGGCTGTCGCCCAGCTTCTGCCATGGAGCACAGCACACCCAGCAGGGAGCCAGCAAGGGGCCACTGTCAAATGCATCGTATCCAGATTTTCCCTCTTCTGGGAAACTCTGGATGATGTGAAATTTGCTTTTGGGCCAGGTCAAAAATAAAAATAGGCGTTTTCAGACTTGTTGCTGAAGCAAATGTTCCAAAAGATGCCAGTTTAAAGCATTTTTCTGTTTAGATTTTTCAGCTGTTTGGTGTGGACTTCTATTTTGTTTTATGGATTTTTAAAATTTTTTTTGTACTTTTAAAATATTTCATACCATGTTGATATTATCATTATTGCATTAAAACATAAAATACTCTGTATTACTAATGCAATAGTCAGTAGCTGAAGTGAACCAGTATTCTGACATTTCAGCGTTAGGTAGGTATTTTCTCTGCTGTGGAAATATATATAATGGCAAACAAGACTTCAAAATCAGTAGTTTTAAAATTATTTTCAATAGACCTTTGAAAGGTTGGGTCAGTGGACGATTTTTGGAGTATCCTTGAAAGAAGACTGATAAAAACAATTTTATTTACATTATCCAGAAATCACTGTATGTGATAGCTATATATGTACATATTCTCTTACAGACCACAGTATTTCAGTTTTTTGTGTCAATTCTCTTTTAATTACAGCAGAATAGAGGTTAATTTTATCTACAAAAGATAAAAAAAAATTAAACAATAATAATAGTCCCAGGAAAACCGTAAACAACCCCTCTCAGCTATTATACTATATCTCTCGGTGACATATCTCATTATAAAGAACAGTATGCATGAGCTCATCATTAAGCATAAATAAGAACACTAATTCAACATGAAAATTTGTTACATGCAATTTGAAATGCAATTTCAAAACAAATTTTCAAACTTCCTAAAATATAGTTTACACATCAATATTTTAAAAAAATATTTTAGTCTGAACAAAAATGATCAAAAAAGTTACAATAGTTTGATCTAGCTTGAAGAAGAAATCTTGAACTACTGACCTTTGGGAACACTGTGGTTAATTGGGCAGAATTGGTGGCATCCACTTAGCTGTCATTTTGTACCCTTGGAGTTTGTTCTGTTCTTCTTTCTATTTTACATGAAGGTTTTTATGTTTTTTCTCTTAAACCTTTTAGCACCTTACAGAATGGTGCTAAAAGGTGCAATTATCCAAAGGGCCTTGGATAACTGTGTAACCTGAGCTGTATAATTTGAAATATAATTGGCATACAACGCAGTAAATAAAAATTTCTTTTTTCTTCTTACGGAAAGATTTTCAAACCTATTTTGGTGTCTAAAAATTCTTTTAGTCACTAACTAATATTGCAAAGCCTGTTAAAAGTCCAGTTCCTATTCATTTCCATTTGAGGGAAGTAACTAATCTGTTTGTGTGCTTTAGAAAATCCCCAGCAAGGATGCTTTGGCCACTGTACTGGTCTCAATGCTTTTAAAAGACTGTTCCTGAGTCATTTTTGAAAATCATCCTTAAGCTCTTAAATTGCTAAGATTGCATCATTTGCACTAAGCCTGCAACAGAATTCAAACCTACTTCACCTATATTTGGTATGGATGTGATTAGATGTGGTCTACTCTCACATATACATACCTGTCCCAGGAAGAAGTTTGGTCCTGCATCCCCTCTTGGCACAGTCCCCGACATGACTTACTGGTGTGCCTGGCTTGAGGCCGCCTGTCTCGGCTGCGGAGCTGCTCCGAGAGGGCCTCTGTGCCAGGCCAACGGCGACTCAGGATCCCCAGTTGGTCAGCCACTGTCCTCGCTTCTTTAGCACGTACCCAACATCTTTCTGAATTTCAGAACAAACAAATCTACACTCAGAGTGTCTGCTCTACTTCCTGTTCATAAATACAATTTATCTTATTACTTAAAGACATTGGGGAGCCATCATTTTTTAAATTTTCCACGATGCACAATGCAGGAGCAAGACAGAGCTTCACAGGCCCTAGTAAATAAGAATTGGAAATAACAAATAATGACATGATGAAATAATAATAAATACATTTATCAGGGCAAAGCTAGGGGCATTTTTTTATTCAGAGAAAATGTTGATAATCTGAAAGTTTTGATATTCTGAGAAAAATCTTAATAATGCACTAGGGTATCCCTTCTGTAAACTGGCCACGTCTCACTAACTCAAAGGTTGAATTTTTCTCAGAATCTGTTAGATGTTCAGTGAAAGGGAGACACATACAAAAAATTAGTGGCATAAGAAACATATAATGGCAGCAATCATAATAATGATAATAAGATACTGCTCTATACCTATACATTTCTCTTCAGCATAAACTTTCTTAATTTTTAGGATGATTAAGTACAATTGCTTGTTTCTCATATGTGTGGCAAAATGTGATGAAAATTTTCTCTTGATAAAAATTCTGGCAGTACTGTGTGATGATTAATTGCATCTCTAAACTAGTGCTCTTCATTGAAGAAAATGGATCAAATAATAGCTTTCATTTATAAAATGCATGAAGATTAAATCAATATGATTTTAGGCTCCTCTTAAGGTTATTCATAAGCCTATTCTCCCTATACCTGGACTGAAGAATCAGTATTATCCTACAGTGTGATATGACTATAATAAAAAAAGGCTATTAGATACATATTTTTTGCTTGTTTGCCTCACAGTACACAGACGAAACAGGAAGTAATCCCTGATGATGAAGAGAGAACTGAATTGCATATGAAAAATTACTGATAACACAACGCCAGTGCCACTGTTTACCTCGCGTTGGAGGCTGGCGAGCAGAGAAGCCTTGCTCATGGAGAGGTGATCACCAAGTCCAGGGGCTCCTTCAATTCAGGCAGGCTGTTGAGGTTACCAGGTGGAAATGCTAAAGATCTCAGAGAAATGGGGTTTCAGACTGAGCATAGTAGCCCAGCTAGTGAATTTCCAATGTTTTCTTTTTGTAGAGCACTCAGTTAAGACAAAAATTTTCACAAAATATCACAAAATATTTATTTCTGTTTATTATCAGATATGGTCAGACACTTACAAGTCTCAATCAGATGCATGTTGTTAGTGTTTTCACACATGGCTAACACTAATGTATCTGTGTTTTTAGGCCAAAAGCTCACAATAGCTCAGAAGTGCTATTATAAGGGGAAAACATATAAAAGTAGCTAAATGCATTTTTAAAAGGAAGTGTAGAAAAGTGTAGGTTGACAAACCATGAACTGGCTTCGTTATAAATTCATGATTGTATTAGACTGTTACAGAGCAGACTGATGTAGATGCCTTAATTGAATTTTTAACGTAAAACGCTGATATTTCTTTAACTGTAATGGTCACTTTTAAGTTATCCCATTTAATTCCTCAGTTTCATAATATTGATTATATCTTATAAAGTTTTTCTTTTTTATTTCTATTTTTCAATTTAACTCTTTTTTGTTTTTGTTTTGTTGTTATTGTTGTTATTTTACTTTACTTTGCTTCAGTCTGATTTCTTTGCAGAGTTTCCTTCTGTGGTTTTGGGGTTTCTTTTTTTTTGGTCTAGAAGTTTATATTAAATATTTTCACAATTTTTCTTTCTGAACTAAGCATAATTATTTATACAATTTTATATTATTATTTTATATTATTTATATATATTATTTATATACATTTTATTATGTAAAAAGTGGGCATGTATTT